CAGTGTAGACTGAACTCTTTGGGGGTACCTTTTGGTATCTCTCTCTCTGTTTCTCTCTGTGTTTCTCTCCATCTCTCTTTTTCATGGACGAAATAAATAAATTTAGAAAAAAATCAAAATAAAACCCTCTAAAATAGCTTTAGAAAACCAAGTCTGGATGCCTGTGGTTACACACCATCTGAGGCGGCTCCATCCCTACCTGTCACGTCCCCCCCTCCCCCGCACACACACACACAGTTTGATGGTGGGCGAGTCCAACTGGAGACTCAGGCCTCACTCCGACTACCAATCAGAAAGCGCAATGTGCTTCAGTTCCATTTAAATGCCTCCGTCCTGCTGTTTTGTTTTCATGGAATAAACACTTTTACATGGAATTTACTCAATGGGGAGGTTGATGTAACTGCATTTATTAAGCTTAGCAGTTCTTGACTATGCACAGGATGAAGTCCAATATATTTATTGACTCAAAGGTGGAAAATTCAGCTGAGCCCAGATGCAATTTGACTGCCAGGGACAACCACACTCAGTGTCAGTCAGCACTGTGTCTCTGGGTGAGAAATGAGAGACTAGTTAATGGGGTTTACTTCACCGCTTCGTCACACTTTGTCTCCTGGATAAAACCTCAGAGATTCACTGTTCGGAGATATCTGAGATAAACTGTACGGCCCAGGAGCCGGTACTTCCTCGCCCACCGTGAATGTATTTAGGGGAAATCCTCGGTGTTTGTATTTATTTATTTTAAAGGACACAAAAGTCAAGGCTTTCAGCTTGGGTCATGATCATTTTCCAAGCTGCACAGCTGGAATGGGGTCCTGACCATCAGTTCCTACTGCCCAGCCCTGGCAACAGGACATGAGTCCTTTGTCCCTGGGCTCCATGGAGGAGAGACCTTCAGGACTTGCAGGCTCCTGTGCATACAGGAAGAAGTGCATTGGTCTCCCAGGGCAGGGACTGCCATGGAGATAGCTAAATGCAGGTGTGTGCTCAACAGACGGTGCTTGGTCTCCACCCCCAGCCCCATCCCTGCTGTGCACTCACCGTGCCTTCCGGGTCCACGAGCAGCAGGTGCTTGGCCTGGCCGTGGTGCATGCCCGTGAGGACGAACGAGCCCGGGTTGGTGGTGCTCTTCCTGACCAGGAAGTCTCCGTCCTTCTCCAGCAGACCCTCTGCCTCCTTCCTGTTCATCTCCCCCTGGTACCAAGGCTCTGCCTTCAGCTCCTCCAGCATGCTGGCATCGGGGGCTCTGGGCGAGACGGGGCTGATGCACTCCACGGAGGCTGCTTTGCTCAATGTGGGCCCCATAGACTGATTCTTGAGCGCATCTTCAAAAGGTTCTGTCAACAACAATATTTTCCAGCAACAAGTCAATTCCAAGAAGAGCAAGTGATAAAAATAAAATGTGAGAGATGAAAATGCAAAGGCAATGCTTCCGAAAGAAAAAAATAACTGGCCGCTAATATAACAAGACTCATCACGACAAGCATTTAAAAGCAAAGCCCATAGTTTTAGCCTGGCTCTTTCTGGTGCGTCCGCTTTCTCAAGACAGCTGGGAGTTGTACTCTGAGCCTAGGAGTTAAAATGCCTTTGGTCTAGCTAGTTAGAATGACCACATCTTTGCTGGCTGCGAAAGACCATGCATATTACACTCTACTTTCAAATTCTGAATAAAAACCTGCCAATACCAAAGCAATAGGTAGGCTCCTGAGTTTTGAATTCATGCAAGACCTAAGCCCAGACACCATGTTTTTTTTTTTTTTTAATTATTTCAAGATATATGCATTAGGCATTTTTTTAAAGAAGAAAGCTGACATGTATTGCCTCTGGTGTGACTTACTCCAGATTAGGCACTCTACTACTCCTTGACCCTCACATGTTCCCGGGTAGAAAAAGGCTCTTGCAGGAGAGCCCGAGACCTAGCGTGGCTTCATCCCCTGTGGAACACACTTCTCACCACAGGGCATCTGTGAATGGGGAGACTCCCTGCATCAACAGCAAGAAATACTGGTAGCAAAACAAGTAGCCGGGCTACTTAATTAAATCTCAATGTAAGGTAGGAGGTACAAAAGGACGAGGGAAACTTCACATGTGCTATTCAAGGGTAAGTCAGAATGAGGGTTATTTAAGACCACATGGGCCACCCAGAATAATGCTAGCAGCACTAGAATAGGAATGGTTTTCTCCTGGGCATAACTACACTCCCAGAGGTCTGTACTGTTCCTGGGACACAGTTTGTACTGTATGAGCAGTAGTGAATGCTATAAAATAAACTCCTTTTGGGAAAGGTTGAAGGATAGACAGAAATGAGGTGAATAAATAAGGTCAAAATCAAGTCACCAAAATGTTGACATTGTTAAATTTTTTACAGATTCTGGGATAAAAAGAAATTCAGGTTATTGACTAAAATTATGAGTTTGATTTTGTATCCCACTTTTTTCTGATTAACCAGAATAATTTAAACTTTGTATTGACCTGTTTGTGGGTCATCACCACCTTCACCGTAGTCAGCTTCATCCTTGTTATCCCCATTACTTTATTGTCACCTCCAACATCACCATCAGCACCAACATTACACCATCATGATCAACATTCTTGTTGCCAGCATAACTATTACCACCACCATGACCATCGTCTTCATCACCACCACCACCATCGCTATCACCGATACCAACACCAACATTACACTATCACGATCAACATTCTTGTTGCCACCATAAATATTACCACCACCATGACCATCGTCTTCATCACCACCACCACCATCGCTGACTATCACTGATACCAACACCAACATTACACCATCACAATCAACATTCTTATGGCTACCATAAATATTACCACCACCATGACCATCATCTTCATCATCACCACCACAATCACTGACTATCACCGTCACCAACACCAACATTACACCATCATGATCAACATTCTTGTTGCCACCATAACTATTACCACCACCATGACCATCATCTTCATCATCACCACCACAATTACTATCACCGTCACCAACACCAACATTACACCATCATAATCAACATTCTTGTTGCCACCATAACTATTACCACCATCATGACCATCGTCTTCATCACCACCACCACCATCGCTGACTATAACCATCAGCACCAACATTACACCATCATGATCAACATTCTTGTTGCCAGCATAACTATTACCACCACCATGACCATCGTCTTCATCATCACCACCACAATCACTGACTATCACCATCACCAACACCAACATTACACCATCATGATCAACATTCTTATTGGCAACATCACTACAGCCAACACCTTCATAATCATTAACATCACCATCAGCATCATTACCACCATCATTTTCATCACCATCACAACTATCACCACTATCAGCACCATCATCACCAGCTTCATCACTACCACTACCATCACCGTCATTATCCTCATCATCACCAACACCAACACCATCATCGCCATCTCCAGTTCCACCATAATTACCATCACATCATTTTTACAATCACCACCATCGTTAGCCCTATTAGTTCAAAATAACAGAGAGCTGGTTTTCTTTATTTTCATACTTTTCAATAGCTATTAGGCTCTCCAAGGCCCTTCCTACTTAATTTCTGTTTCCTCTTCTCTGGTTTTGAAAGTAAGAGTAAAAATTAACTGATAGAAAAATGGTAGCTCTGCTTCTCATTTTTTTTTCTTCTCCAATCCTAGCCCAATCCAACCCTCTTCAGGCTCTGGGGCCAAAAGCCACTGTAAACCAAGTGAATGAAAAGAGCAATGGGCTGACTACATACACAACACCCAATTGCACTTGGACCACCTGGAGCAGCAGCTGACAGAGTCATCACTTTTCTCTGCTTCTTTGTAAATTAGTTCATACTTCTGTGACAGCACATATTTTTTAAATGAAGGGATTGGATTTGATGATCTTTACGGTTCCTCTAAGTACTGACATTTTACCATTCTTCTGGCTCAGGTGACTTCTGTAAATCAAATGGGATTCTGATGTGTCTGGGAGCCCCATTGGCTGAGGAGAAATAGAAAGTTTCTATACTGCTACTTAATCATAGTATCACCTTCCCCTTCTTGCCTCCCATATAGTACCACCAATACCATGTATTAGACAAGTAAGGCTGCCTTTCACAAGTGGGAAAGTTCCTTAACCTCTAGGATCTCCATTTCCTCCTCCATAAAGTAGGAATAATAATATCTATCTGTAAGATCATTGTGAAAATTAAATAAGACAGTAGGTGCCTAGCATACATAGGAATCCATTCAGTGCTAGTTTCCTTTGCCTCCCTCTTCAGCCTATAAAATTCTCAAGGAATTCAATGTGGAAGCTGTTGGCTTTTTTGTTTGTTTGTTTGTTTGTTTGTTTGTTTGTTTTGCTATACGGAACTTGTGAGAGAGAGCGAGAGAAAGTAAAAAAAAAAAAAAAAAAAAATCACCCCTAAGATGGGATGGCCATGCCACAGTCCCTTCTCTTCCATGTTCCTTTCAGGATCTTGGGTATATACACATTCATGCCCTGTGCGATTCTTCAAGTCACTGATTCCCGGACTGCATAATTGGTCATGTGGGATCTAGCACCTTAACCTCCATGCAACCTACTGGTCCCAAAGAGCAAGTTTTAAGATATGAAGTTCTTTGTGAGCCTGGGGAGCTCTTTGTGTGTGTGTGTGTGTGTGTGTGTGTGTGTAGGGGCTTTTGCCTCAGAGTACATGTGCTCACTGGAGAGAGAAGGAGACAGTGAGAGGGAAAGTGAGAAATCACCCCCTGGGGAGAATGGCCATGCTGCAATCCCTTCTCCTCCATTCTTCTCCTGGGATCTTGGGCAGTCATCCACATGTGCCCAGCATGAGTTATAAGCCACTGGGTCTGGGACTCGAACCACAGTTGGCCATGTGGGAGTCCAGTGACATAACCACACATCATCTGCTGGTCACTGGGAAGCTCTTTTGAACTTTTTTCTTTTCTCTTTTCTTCTTCTTTTTTTAAAAATTTAGAGATAGTCTTGCTATGTTGCCCAGGTTGACCTCAAACTCACGATGCCCTGCCTCACTCCTGCCCCCGTCTCCAATGGAGCTGCAATGTCACCACACCCGGCTGCTAAAATGCTTTCACAATGATGTTCACATTCCTTTCACAAATGATTTCAGTTTCCCCATTTATGGAACAAATAGAAAGTCTGTGGCACGTATGCCCTTACTGCCACCTGCACTAGGCTGCCATCAGTCTCCTTCTCGTGTTCCTTTTGTCATTACTTACGAGCATTTATCGCTGTTTAGTACTATCTAGTTCATGGCGTGAGCTCCATGAGTGGGCTTTGTGTTGTTTCCTTGTGCATCTGCGTAAATAGGACAGCATTTGACACACGGTGGTACTCAACCAATATTGGGGAAAGGGCAATGGAAGAGAATGAGAGAAAAACAGAGAGTGCATGTGAGCAAGGCATACTGCAATTTCGAGGTGACGGGCGAGCCTTGCTTCCTAGACTGCAAGCTCTGCGAAGACAGGCCCGTGCCATTGCGTCTCTGTGCCCTTACACTGAACGCAGGACTTGGCATATACTAGCTAATTGATAGGTGAATACATAAGTGAACACATGCATTTATGTCTATTGTTTGCCTCCATACATTTGCAGATCCTCAAGAGAAAAGTCGTTTCCAAGTGGAAGGGGACATGACATTGCCTCCTGACTGCAGAGGGTTTAAATCCCAAAGCCTTCAGTGAATCCAGCACAACCCAGAAAGTACAGCTGATCATCACGTCTTACTCAGAGCCTCGCTACCAGGAAATTCATAAGTGCGCAGATTTCAAATAAAAACAGCGTGAAAAGGTGAAGAAAGCCAGAGACAATGCAACCCACTCATGTCGAAGAGGTCCTTCCGCGGGCTGCTCTCCGCGCTGCTGTCCGTGGCCGGCCAGGCCTGCGGTGGCATGTGCTGCGTGTTGACGTAGGTGGGCGCTTCTCCCACGGGGACCGTGTGTGCTTTCCCCTCTGGCGTGCTGTAGATGTCCGAGGACCCTGCAACAAGAAGACAGACGCGCCTTCCCTAACGATGGCAACGCTGTACGTGCCTCCGCAGCTAAGCCGCCCACCACCTCATAGACAAGCGCCTTCCGCGGCTACTAAACCCCTCTCGCAGGTACCCTGTGGAAACCGCGCCTCTTCGAGCCTGTCCCCACACACTGCTGCGTCCTGGTTAGAAGGTGCTCCAGCCCCTCGTGTGGAAATGGGTTCTGCCAGCGGGCATAAGGGCGGAAGTCATCCTTTCTCAGCCTCGTGCCCCAGGGCTGTGCTAGCTAGCCAGCCCCCTGGCTCCCCTCCTTTACGAATGCACCAAGATCAGAAGAACCACATGCCTCATTTCAATTCTTCTTTTTGTTGCTTTTGCAGTGTAAATGGATGCTTTTTAACTGAACTCATTCTAGTAGTCCAATACTCACTCTGGCTTAGAAAGGTAGCTCCTAATGGACTGAGATACTTTCTCTAAAAAACGGAGCTGCCACTGCTAACCTGCATCTACTGAGGGAGCCCAGGGGGAGCGTGTAATTGGAAATTTCTTTCTTTGGGATTTCCCAGCTGGATGGTGTGCTGAGGCTGGGCCCAGGTTTGTGTCACTAGAAGTGACGTTTGTGTCACTAGAAGTGACGTGTAAGATGATGCCTGAGAAAAGCTGCTCGAATCCTCTCAGGTCTTCCTGCGTGTGCCTGCCTCCGATCCATTTACATACACATATTTGGAGAACACTGTGGCACTCCATTTCTGGGGAGAGGGCATCTTTCATGCCCTGCAGGCGGAGGTGCAGAGGAGCCAGTGCGATCCAGCTGGCAAGCTGCTTCAGGGCTTTTTACAAAGCTCTCCCGAGAGCTCGTGCTTGTACATTCGCCAGCGCCACACTGTCTCCTGGCCTGGCTGTGGGAGGATGTCTTCACTGGGAGCTTCACCCACAACATCGTGAGCGCTCCTATTTTTGACTGTCCTATTCTTGTGAGTTTTATGGTTCAGAGGCTGTTTCTGGATTCTATGTCCTTGCTTAGCAATGGTTGATTGTGTGTGTGTGTGTGTGTGTGTGTGTGTGTGTATGTGCGTGTGTGTGTGTGTTTAAAAAAGAGATGTTTGCTATTAGGCATGTGCATTCACTGGAGAGACAGAGAGAGAGAGACTGAGAAATCATCTACCTCCGAGGGGACAGCTTCATCACAATCCCTTCTCCTTCATTCTCTCAGGATTTGGAGCATGCACGCACATGCACCCGGCATGAGTTTCAAGCCACCAGATCCAGGCCCCGAGCTGCAGTTGGCCACTTGGGAGTCCAGCGCCTTAACCACTATACCATCTACTGGCCCCACAAATCAGTCTTTAGAAAATAGTTCCACAAACTAATTTTTAAAAGGAGACTATCAAAAGCCCAGTGAATAACCTTCCTGAAGGCCCTTTCTAATGGTAGATGACAGCAGAGGCGAAGCAGAGGGCACAAGGACATAAGCCATGGGGTCACCTAGGGTTAATGTCTGTTTAGGAAGAACAACTGCTGGCAGACTAAGAAGGGACGTTCTCATTTATCCAGTCGTGGAAGACATGCATTGTTTTCCCATGGGAACTTAGAATGTGGGGAGCTATGAGTCTCCAGGGCTGAACTTGTAGAGGGCTCCCACTCCTGCTCTCAAGCTGGCTAGAATATACAGAGAAAGACTTATTAAAGCAAACCTGACATATTTTACAATGAAGTAAAGGCCCAATAGAACGCTGTCCCCTGCAGCCCGCAGCAGTAGGCCAGGACTACACGCACAGATGCAGAAACGCACTGCGGGTGTCTGTGGAACACAGAGGAGCAGCCCACGGTGCGGGGCACCTCAGCCGCTGTGGCCTTGACTCGCAGCTTCCATCCCATTCTGAGGCGGAGCCACGTGGGGGTCTCTGCCAGGCCTTGTGTTCGGTCAGCTGCGCCAACACTGTGGTTCTTCTTTCAGCGGAGGCAGGCAAAGGCCATGGAATTCTCTCACATGGGGGAGATTTTTTAAATGTATCGTCATTTGCTTCCTGGCACAAATGGCTACGGTGAGAGGACAAGCCTCAGTGTTAAGCCAATAAATGCTCACTTGTGCATGAAGACGCCTCCGTGGGCTCCTTGTGCTTCAGACTCTGAGGACTTAGCCTCCGGGATCCCAGGGTTATGGAAAGAGTTACAAAACGTGTTTAAGAACAGTTTTAAAATTGAAAGACATATTTAAAGAATAGATCAATTAAATAGATTAATAGAGATATAAGAGGGGACTTTAAAAACTTGATAGAAAAATGGAATTAAAATGTGAGTCTATTGGAGGCCAGCCGGTGGTGTGGTGGTTAAGGTGCCAGACTCCTACATGGCCAGCCGCAGTTTGAGTCCCAGATCTGGTGGCTTGCTTTCTCTCTTTCTCACTCTGTCTCTCTCTGGTGAGCACACACATATCCTGTAGCAAACTGAAAAGTAATGATAATGATGAATAAAATTAAATAAATAATTCTTCTTTAAAAGTATGACTCTACTTTTTTAAATTTATTTTATTTTTTTTTATGGGAGATTTTTGCTATAGGGCCTGTGCACTCTCTGGAGAGACAGAGAGAGAAAGCGAGAAATCAACCTCCCACCCCCCAGGGAGATGGCCATGCCACAATTCTTTCTCTTTCATTCTCCTCCTGGGATTTTGGGCACACACGCTTACATGCTTGGAGTGAGTTTTAAGCCTCCAGGTCTGGGACTTGAACAGCAATTGACCATGTGGGAGTCTAGCACCTTAACCGCCATGCCACCTGTTGACCCTGTGAGTCTATTTTGATGTTAAACAATGCTTGGAATCCATATAGAGCCTTTTTATTTTTTTCTCCCACCCTTGGTTTTTGCCATAGGACAAGAGAGAAAGAAAGTGGGAAACCACCACCAGGCGGGATGGCCACACCGCAATCCCTTTTCCTCCACCTTCCTCTCAGCATTCTGGGTACCTGCGGCATGATTTACAAGATGCGAGGCCTGGGACTTGAACCACAGTCAGGCATATAGGAATCTAGTGCTTTAACCACCATGCTACCTGCTGGCCCCATGCAGAGCTTTCTCATCAGACACATTTTCATTTCATACACACATATATGTTTGTATACAAAGTTTGGGCTGCCAGAAAAGTCAGGACACATTTTTGCACAGAAAAACATACGAAAATGCGTCATGACCTTTCCAAGGACCCAGTAATCATCTGGAGAATAAAGACTTCTGTGAGTACGGAGCAGCCAGTTGTTAGTGAAATCTCAACTGTTATAGCTACATTTTAACATATCTAAATTATTTTCAGCTATCTAAATTATATAGAGATAGCTGTTATACCCAAATTAGACAGAGATATGGTTGTATCTAATTAGATAGCTATATCTGTTATTTTTCATGTGTGATGTAGGTGCATGTTATTAAGTTTGATAAGACATTGAAGTATCTTCTAAAAGTACCCAGGGCCTACGAGAGAGTCTTACGTCTCTGGTGCCATCTCTACGTCTCCACCACCAATCCCCAGCCTAGGATCAGTATCTTTATGTGTCTACCAAAGCTGACCCTGACTTGGGGGATGCGGGAAAGGCAGTGAAATGAGGGGAGGCAGCAAGTCCCTGTAGGATTTCCTGGGGCTGCACCCTGCTGGGGACCTTGGAAGTGGTAGAAAATATGCACCTGGGCCTCCTCACCACCCCATTGTAAAGCTGGGAGGGTGCTGGTGGGCGTCAGCTCCTCGGCCACCCAGGGGAAGGAAGCACTCCTGCCAGCGGCACCTTCGACTCTGGGCCATCCCAACATGCAAGGATGGGGAGAACTGACCGAGTGTGACCTTGTCCCAGTGCTGCAAGGGGCACCCTCTGATTTCTGTCAGTGACAGTGATGTCAGCTGCTGCTTCTCTTGCTAAGGTCTGTTTGGGGATCAGCAGCACCATCTGCAACACAGACCTCCGGAGGGTCGCCGTGCCAGTGTGCAGGAAGTGGATGAGCCCCTGCGAGTACAGCACGTTGAAGTACTTCTGCGTCCACCCGCCTCACCTTGCCTGATAGGCGCTTGCTGCCAGTCTTCACCGAACGTGTCTCCGAGGTGTCTTCCTTGGTAGTAAGTTTGCTCTTTTCCTGCAAACTATAGACACATGCAAATATAAAAGAAGAGTTACCCTCTTGTTTCCCCATCTTTGAAGGTCACAGCACAGGGTCTTCGTCACGGGACAGTGGCACCCTTTCTCACACCCTAGCTTCCTGTCAGGCTGGCACTAATATCTGGCAGATCAGTTTACGTGGGTGTGAAGAAAGGCTGCACAGCCATCAACATAGCAATGCCCCTCCTTGTTTTTGTTACTCTCCCCACAAACCTTCCTAAGCGTGACCAAAGATTGAGCTCTTCCCAATTCAACCATGCTGTCCAACATGGCCTAAGATAACTTCCAATGAGAGAGGATCTGCGTGCTGGGGGACTTCCTACCCACTGCGTGAGGCAAGGGTCACTCATGTTAGGGCAGGTCTGCTCTGTGAAACCCAGGAACTGCTTTCCGTGCCCCAACAGGGTCAGATCCTTGACTCCAATGTAATTTGTCCATTTTTGTTATTGTCATTATCATTCACACAAGACAAGTGAGGTTCAAGAATTTCCTATAACAAAATAGAGATATTGAAACTCTAGAAATCAATTACCCTACCATAATTTTGAGATAGAGGTAGGGAAAATGAGGGGGATTAATAAAGTATAAAAACTTGGGATCAGCAGTTGGCATAATGGCTATGTCACTGGACTCCCATGTAGTCGACCATGGTTCAAGTCCCGGACCCGGTGGCTTAAACTCATGCCGGGTACGTGTGCATGCATGCCCAAGATCCCAAGGAAGAGAATGGAGAAGGGATTGCGGCCTGGCCATCCCCCCTGGGGGGGGTGATTTCTTGCTTTCTGTCTCTCTGTCTCTCTTTCGGGCGAGTACACGTGCCCTATAGCAAAAATCTCTCCCAAAAATACACTCATAAAATTCTCATTTTAAGGGCCTATGTCCTTCGTTTTCTCTGAAAACCCAAAGCACCCCCAGACCTTCAAAAGTTTTGCATTCTCTCTTCCCCTCACTGAGGTCACAGTGGTAGGGTTTGTTCCGGGAGGGAAAGGACACCCTCCACTCTTCTCAGGAGTCACTGCACAGTTGGTTAGTACATCACGATGTGAAATAAAAGCTCTCCTATTTGGATGCTTTGTAAAATCCAGCGAAAAAAGTCAGCGAGTTACTGTGTTAAAAAGTGAATAGAACGTCAGCCTGAAATAAAATGGAAGGAAGGAAGAGGAAATGAAGTGTAGTCAGCCTTCATTCAAGGGGAGCCCTGAGACTCACCTGGGCTGAGTCAGGAACAGGAGTTCTGGTTTTCAGTCGAGTATCAAGAAACGCCCCTGGAGGAGGCATCTTGCTTGGAACGCTGTTGTAGTACGGGCGGTCCCGGTCCGGGCCATCCCCCTCCTCTTCCATCCACGGCTCGTCCAGGCTCTGCGTTCTGTTCAAAGGGAGCAGAGATTTAGCTCGTCAGGGAGCTCACAGTCAGAATGAAGAAACCTCACAGTAGCACTGTCACCAAGAAAACAAGTCTAGTCCCTGTCCCCACCGTCATGCCAAGTTCCACTCACTGGGAACTTCAGTTATATTTGAAGTGGATCCTTTTAAAACGTACATTTGGATGAAGAAAGAGATCACGTATTGCCTAAGAATAACCAGATTCTTAATGTACGGTACACATTTCAGTGAGACACTAAATGAGTCCAAAGCAATAAGAAAATTGGTATTAAAAAGAAAGGTTTTGTCAAGATTACCTTTTTCAGAATTCTAGGAATTAACCAGAGCTTGCAACCAATGTTTATTTTTAAAGCAAACAGCTGTCTGAACAGTATCTTTGTGGCATTTTAAATGTTTCTATTTCCATCTCTGTGGTAGCCTTTGAAAACCAATGTCTCACAATCACGGTGAAAACCAGAAGCCTGGTAGCCACGAAGGTGCCTAACAGCACTGATAACGCCCTTGAAGTCCCACTCCAGGAGAACACTCATTATTAGACATATCGGATGGTCCCTGGGAAGACCCAGCTCCCAAAGCTGTTTATTTGACTTGATTCAGAAATTGCCTACGGCCAACAATGTCCTCCCCAGGGGCATTTTTCAAAAACAATGAGAGGCAATTATTTAACATTGCGGCCCACTGAGACCAAGCTATATACTAATCAAAAAGCTTGAAAGGGGGCCAGCAGGTGGTGGCGTGGTGGTTAAGGGTGTTGGACTCCCCCATGGCAGACTGTGGTTCAAGTCCAGAACCTGGCGACTTGCTTTCTCACTTTCCCTCTCTCTCTCTCTCTCTCGCTCTGTCCCTCTCTGGCTCTCTCACTCTGTCCCTCTCTGGTCAAATTAAAATAAATAAACAGAGTTAAATAAAATAGTTCTTTAAAAAAACAGCTTGAAAGGAAAAGCTGGGAAATCATTTCCAAGGCGTTAGTAAGCTCTGGCATCAGGGACTCGCACACGCTGTGTAGGTCCAGGCCTCCATGCCTGTTCAGATGGGTGTGAGGAAGCTCCACGCTCTGACCTCCGGTCAGGTACGGAGTGAAGGCCCAGCAGCCTACTGCCTACGGAGTGCTTGCACAGTGCCCTGGCACACACACATAGCCCCAACGAAGCTGGGAGACTGCAGTCCCAAGCTTTTAGGAATACACCTTTTCACCCGTCAGCTGCTTGATAATGAAATGCCGCAGAACTATCAGTGACAAATACAGACCTACAGAATTACCTTAGAAAAGTCACTGAAGCAAAGAACTACTACAAAAGGCACAACAGACTCTAAGGTGGGGAGAAATCTGATTTTGAGAGTTGCCACATTATAGTATTTAATATTATCAGTTTTAACAAAAATAATGAGACGTACAACGAAGTAAGGGAGTATGGCGATCAATAGAAACTGAGGAAACTCAGATTTGGGGCTAATTAAACAAATGTTCTTAATTAACTGCTTTAAATAGGTTCAAAGAACTAAAGGAACCATGTATAAAAAAACTGAACATGAGAATTAGGCTTCTCTAAACAGGGACTATCAATATAAATGTAGAATTTTTTTTTTTTTGGAAAAGTTTTTGCTATACGGCGCGTGCACTCACTCACCAGGAAGACAGAGAGAGACAGAGAGACAGAAAGTGAGAAATCACCCCCCCAGGGGGGATGGCCACGCCGCAATCCCTTCTCCTCCATTCTCCTCTTGGGATCTTGGGCACGCACGCACACATGCCCGGCATGAGTTTAAGCCACCGGGTCCGGGACTCGAACCACGGTTGGCTACATGGGAGTCCAGAAACATAGCCATTATGCCAACTGCTGGTCCCTAATAGATAATTTTTTAAAATAACCAACTAGAAAATTTAGAGTTGAAAATTCTAAATTAAGGGACTTAACAGCAGATTTGAGCATACAGAAGAGAGAATGACAGACTTCAGAATGGATCAGTTGAGATTATTCAGTTTGAAGAACAGAAAGAAGTAACAAAAATGAATAGAAGTTCAGAGACCCATAAGGCACCAGTAAGCATAGTAACACATACACAGTGGAATCTCTGAAGCAAAGGAGAGACTAAAACTGGCAGAAAAAAAATTTGAAGAAATAATGGCCAAAAACTTCCCATATTCGATGAAAAACATTGAGCTATACATCCACAAAGTTCAGAAAAACTTAAGATAAACTCAAAGAGATTCACACATCATATCCAAACTGTTTAAAGAAACAGAATCTTAAAAGCAGCAAGAGATGCCGAGCGCGTGAGGCTGCGGCAGGCGGAGTAGGCCCTGCGCCGGCCCAACCGGCCCGGCTTCGGCGGCTTCAGCCCCGCCACCCCCGAACCTAAGACCTCAGACAATAAAACTACTTGTGGAAAATGCTGGGGAAACTCTGGGAGACATTGGAGTAGGCAAAGACTTCTTAAATAAGACTCCCAAAGCACAGGCAATAATCCCTAAAATAGACAAGTGGGACTATATTAGACTAAGAAGTTTCTGCACAGCAAAGGACACAGTAACAAGTGTGAACCGACAACCCTCAGAATGGGAAAATATTTTTGTTAAATATGCCTCAGACAAGGGACTGATAACGAGAATACATAGGGAACTCAAGTGCCTTATGCGAAAAAAAATGATTAACCCGATTAAAAGATGGGAAAGTGAGCTGAACAAAAGTCTCTCTAAGGAAGACATACGAACAGCCAAAAAGCATATGAGGAAATGCTCGACATCCCTCATCATAAGGGAGATGCAGATAAAAACCACAATGAGATACCACCTAACCCCTGTCAGAATGGCAAAGATTAAGAATATAAAAAGTGATAAGTGTTGGCGGGGATGTGGTGAAAAGGGAACCCTCCTACACTGTTGGTGGGAATGTAAACTAGTTCAACCACTGTGGAGAACAATATGGAGGTTCCTCAAAGATCTACAAATAGAACTACCATTTGATCCAGCAATCCCACTTCTGGGTATTTACCCAAAAGACAGGAGAACGCTCAGTCAGAAAAGTGCTTGCACATCCATGTTTATTGCAGCATTATTCACAATTGCCAAGACATGGAACCAACCTAAATGTCCACAAACTGATGAATGGATTGGAAAAGTGTGGTATATATACTCTATGGAATACTACTCAGCCATAAAAAATAACAAGACCCTGGCATTTGATAGAAAGTGGTCAGATATGGAGGATCTATTGCTGAGTGAAGTAAGCCAGGCTATGAAAGAAAGATATTGTATGTATCCACTCAATATATACCGACTATCCGCATTCTATGATAGAGAGCAAAAAATCGGAGGACATAAAAGCAGTGAAGGTACTTAATGAGAATAGGACAGTGTGGAATGGGGTAAGTGAAGAGAAGAGGATAGAGAAAGATAGCAAGTGAACAATAGAGAGGCAGGACGTTAGTGAGAAACAGATAGGGCTTATTGACTGTTGATGATGACATGTATAGTATTCTCAACTGGATTGGTCTGAGAAGTATTTCATGATGGGCAAAGTATTTTTACAAGCAAAATGAGAAATAGCAATTGACTATTTTAAAAAATAATTAGAATAATAAAAATAATGATTGGGGAAGACATGGAGGAGATATTGAATGTTGAGGTGGGGAGATTAATGTCTCTGTACTGACGGACATGCATGGCATTCCCTTTTGAAAAAACAATGTAATACACTGTAAAGTTATATGTAATCCAATGTAATATAAAGAAGATTATGATGATGATAATAAAAAATAAAATTAAAAAAAAAAAGAAAAAAAAAGCAGCAAGAGAAAAGCAGCTCATCAAGTACAAGATATTTTCAATAAGATTAACAGCTGAGGGGTCGGTAGGTGGCATAGTGGTTAAGGGGCTGGACTCCCACATGACTGACCATGGTTCTAGTCCTAGAACCAGTGGCTTGATATTCATGCAGGGAGTGTGTGAGAGTGTGTGTGCGCGCGGGCGCCGAAAATCTCAAGAGGAGAATTGAGGAGAAGGGATTGCAGCAGGGCCATCCCCCCTGGAGCGAGGGTGATTTCTTGCTTTTTGCCTCTGTCTCTCTGGTGAGTACAAGCACCCTATAACAAAAATCTCTTTTTTTAAAAAAAGGGGAGAAATAAATTAACTTTTAATCAGAATCAACAGATATCCAAAGGCAGTGAAACAGCATATTTTATGTGCTAGAAAAAAGACTATCTACCAACTCTAAATCCAATATAACTATCCTTTGAAAATGAAGCAAAAATTCATACATTCCCAGAAAAACAGAAATGAAGAAAATGTATTGCTAATAAATATGCCCTATAAGAAATACTAAAAGAAGTACTTCAGGCTGAGCCCAAAGGCCACTAAACAGCAATTCATGTTGACATGAAGAAACAAACAGAAACGAGGGAAACTTCACTACCCAAGTAAAGATGAAAGACAGTATATATGTAGGTTTTACCTATCAATTTTAGCCCTTCTCTCTAATTTAAAAATGCAACTAAAGCAATAATTACAAATACATGTTATAGAGTACACAACCTGTAAAGATGTAATTTCCATGGTAATAGCAGCACAGTGGAGGGTGGACGGATGGAGCTGAATAGGAGCAAAGCTTCTGTGTACTATTGAAATTAAGTTAGTGTCAATGTGCACTAAATTGATATAAATAAAGATGTTAATAGTAATCCCCAGCATAGCTACTAAGAAAACAGTACACTTAAAAATATTTATTTAATACCAAAGATTGCAGTAATGTAGGAATATGGAAGCAAAATGATATAAAATGTATGATTAAAACTAGCAAAATAGAAAGAGAAAATCCTAACTTATCAGTAACTGCATTAAATATAAATGACTAAACATTCCAATTAAAAGACAGAGATTGTCAAAATGGATTTTTAAAAGTGATCTGTGTCTTTTTTATAAGATACACACTTAAGATTTTAAAATACAAATAAATTGAAAGTAAAAAGATGTCTTACACAAATAGC